CTCGAGATGGATTTTAGCATCCAAAGATCAAAGTTCAGACCCTGCTCTGCCCCTTACTTTCTGTGTGACCCTCAGCAGGTTACAGAACCTCTCTGAGCCTGCTTTCGCATCTGGAAAGTGGAGACGATGATTCCTCTCATGAGGTGGTTGTATTACAGAGAAACTCTCCCTCTCTCCGAAGTCCCTGTGACTGACTTATAGACAGGGCTTACGTAAACAGATGCTATTACTATTCCAGGCTGCCGAGAGGGTGTCCAGTGTTGCTCTGGCTTACCCAAGGAACCTGAGTTACTCATTACCAAACTGCATTGCTGTGGGTAAGAAAATTAGGAAGAATAGGAAGGATGGCAGTAGGCGCAGGAAGGCAATTTGGTCTTGATCTACATCAGGTAAAGGCTGCCCGAGGTCAGAAGAAACCTACAGACATCCTGGGAAACCGTACAGGAGAAAACGTGGCGGGCAGAAGGAGGCATCGGAACTGCCTCCACGGAGGAATCCACCGAGGGAGCAGCATCCGAATCTAAGTCAGGTCCCAGGCTGCCTCAGTGGTCTTGGGCACGTCATTTAGCCTCTGGGGGACCCTTGACCTGTCTCGGATTTGAGTCCTGCGCACCTCACAGGTTTGTAGTGAGCCTCGATGTTCTCGATGGGGAAGTGTCCAGGAAAGTAGCAGATGCGCTCCAGTGAGCGGGGTCCCCTGGCGATGTTTCAGAGGTGACCTCTCAGCTGGACCAGGTGCTTGGAGCTCCCTCATCCACCACCAGACACCTCAGAGGGCAGCGGAGGAACGATCAGGAAACAAAGGTGCCTCTTCAGATGAGCTGCACAGTAGACGGGAGGGAACTCTGCGAGGCTGAACGTTTGCTCCATCTGCAGCCTGGGGAGGCCCTATTCTTTGGGAGCCAAAGGGACCTGAAGTCTCAGCTCCACATCCCTGTGCCCCATGGGGGCCCAGCCTTGGTGAAATGAGGAAGAAGTTGAAGATTGTCTGGGGGAGCCCTGCCCTTCTTCTACCATCCCCCTCCTTCCTGCCCACACCTTTCTCTGCCCTCCACCCCAGCTTCACCATTATCAGGTAAAAGTCACAGTAAAAATTCCATGTTAGCTTGTTTCCAAACTTGTGATTTATTAAAAGACTACAAGTATCCAGCAAAGGATAAATGGATAACCACAGTGCGGTGTGTCTGTACAATGGAATCTTACTAAGGAATGAAGCCCCAGCACGAGCCACAGCATGGAGGAGGCCTGAAAACATTCTGCTAGGTGTAAGAAACCAGGCACAGAAAGACCACATGTGAAATGATTTCAGTTATCTGAAATATCTAAAAGAGGCAATCCATGGAGTCAGAAAGCAGATGGTGCCTGGCAGGGAGTAGGGGTCGGGGTTTCAAGAGAAATTGCTTCATGGGCACAGGGCTTCTTTTTGGGGTGATGACAATGTGTGGGAGCTAGTAAGAGGTGGTGGATGCATAACACTGTGAGTGTGCTAAATACCACTGGGTTCACTTAAAATGGTTAGTTTTTGGGGCGCCTGGGCGGCTCAGTCAGTTAAGCGTCTGACTTTGGCTCAGGTCACCATCTCATGATTCATGGGTTCAGCCCTGCGCCGGGCTCTGTGCTGACAGCTCAGAGCCTGGAGCCTGCTTCGGGTTCTGTGTCTCTGTCTCTCTCTGCCCCTCCCCTGCTTATACTCTCTCTGTCTTAAAAATAAATAAACACTAAAAATTAAAATATATATATATATATATATATATATATATACTGGTTATTTTTCTGTTGTGTGACTGTGCTTTCACCTCCTTGTCTTTCCCTTATCCTGTCTTCACTTGCATGTCTTCTTTGTCTGTCCCTCTCACCCTGTGGACACTTCTCCCCGTTCTCTGCCCCCACCCCCCGACTCTGCCCAGTGGCAAGGCGACGCGGGGCTGGGGATGTGACCCTGCAGGATAAGACGCCATTCCTCAGGGGCCTTAGCTTCCTCCGCTGCAGAATGGCAGGGACAGACGCCAGGATGCTCTGGCTCTCGTTTTCTCTTGTGAGGTACCTTCCCAAGGGTCCCTGAAAAGTGGCCCTTTTTAGGGACCCCTGGGTGGCCCAGTCGGCTGTGCATCTGACTCTTGAGTTTGGCTCAGGTCATGATCTCACGGTCATGAGATTGAGCCCCACGTTGGTCTCTGTACTGACAGTGCGGAGCCTGCTTGGGATTCTCTCTCTCCCTCTCTCTCTCTGCCCCTCCCTCCCTCTCTCTCTCTCTCTCTCTCAAAATAAATAAACTTTTTAAAAAGTGGCCCTTTTTAGTTTCCAGGTTTAACTCAACTTTTGTGCCATTCCTAAAATTTCTTCTGTACTTCCCACCCCACTGCCTTTCACTGCCGGGGAAAACAGGAGGCAGGAAATGAGAGAGAGAGACAGAGGGAAATTGGTTGATTTAGAAGAATAAGAAAGCAGAGTGCAGCCTTAAGAAAACAGCTCGGAGTGTGTTTATTTTCCTGTCTGTGCATCCCTTTTAGATTACAGTGATCCGTGGGGCGGTGACCATGTCTTGTCTGGGCTGTGTACCCACCTCGGGGTTGTGCTTATTTTTGTGTTTTCCAGTCTACTGTCCTTGGCTAAAAGTCTTAGGGCTGAGATGTGTGGCTGTACCATTTGTTGGAAGAAGAAAACTTTAGTCAGTGAGCCCATCTTTTCAGGGCATAAGTGGAGGGTAGGCTTTGGGACTTCTTGGCTTAACCATGAGCTGAATGTGGTGAGCTACAGTGCATGTGGGTCCCTGGCGTGTCACACTTCCCAGGCTCCTTTGAAAGAACTGCTTTCTCTAAAACCCGTGATTTTAAAATATGAGCAACAGGGGCACCTGGGTGGCCCAGTCGATTAAGCATCTAACATTGGCTCAGCTCATGATCTTGTGGTTCATGAGTTTGAGCCCTGTGTTGGGCTCTGTGCTGACAGCTAAAAGCCTGGAGTCTGCTTCAGATTCTGTCTCTCTCTCTCTTTCTCTGCCCCTCCCCTGCTTGTACTCTCTCTGTCTCACTCAAAAATAAATAAAAAACATCAAAAAATAAAAGAAAACTAATATACAAGATTTTTACTTGCATACCTCCATCCACTATGTTCCAGGAGGGGAAACTTGGTCATTGAAAGGGATTGATCAATCCTAAAGAATAAAACCACGAGGCTCACTTAACTTCTTAGCCTCCCCTAAATCTTTAGCTGCAGGTTGAACGGGGTGACCTGAGTTGGCTGGCATGGCTCATGTGGGCCAGCTACAGTATCTCTAGACAGTCTGGGAGGCCTTGAGCTTCTGGGGCGATCCCGCCACTCCAGGGTGAGGCATCTGGTGACTCAGCCTGATGAAGTGACTCATGGACCAGTCTTGGGGATGAGCCACTGGGCGGTGCCCAGGGACTTCCCCAGAGGCTCCACCAGGGAGGAAGATGTTACTTCCTAGAGCTGGGTGGGAGTTCCATTTCTCAGATAATGGAACTAGTCCCTCTTAGAAGAAGGGTTCTGATGTTTTTGAGCTTTCTAAGGGCAACAGATCATTAGCATATCTAAAGGTAGAGAATATCACCCCTATATCCTAAGCCTTGAAGGATCAATGGGTACTTTGATCTTCCCCAAATAAAGCCTTGCTCATCCTTGGGGAGGTATCAGAGATTTGGAGAACTCAGTCTTGGAAGCCTTTGCCAAGAGCTCTTGGAGGGACAGTGTCCTCAGTCAGAATGAAAAGACAAGATGCCCCTTCTCTATGGGAGGTGGCTTCTTAAGTAGGGCCAGCCCACCCACCCTCTCCCCCACCCAGCAGAGGTCCTGCTGAGCTCTTTTTTTTTTTTTTTTTTTAAATAATGCATTTTGGGGGTGTCTGGGTGGGTCAGTTGGTTAAGAGTCCGACTTCAGCTCAGGTCATGATCTCACGGTTGGTGAGTTTGGGCCTTGCACTCTCTCTCTCTCCCCCTCAAAATAAATAAATAAACATTTTAAAAAATAATAGCATAAGATAAGTAATTTAAAAGGAAGAATTCAGGGCACCTGGCTGGCTCAGTCAGTAGAGCATGTGACTCTTGAACTCGGGGTGGTGAGTTCAAGCCACATGTTAAAGGTAGAGATTACCTAAAAATGAAACATTTAAAAGGAAGATAACAGAGTAAAAGAAGAGGCTCAAATTGCAGAGATAAAGATGAAAAAAAAAATGGAATAAGCCAAAGCAGGATGGATGACCAAAGGAAAATGGCATACTCAGAAGTCTGGAATTCACAGTTATGAATTACATTTAAAATAAAGAACTAAATGTTCTCAATAAAGATGAGGACAGAGAATGAGCAAATGGCTTTCTAGTGAGTTCTGTGGACCTGAAGTACTGTCTCCGGCTGGGGCTAGCAGGAGATGTGTGCATGTGTGCATGTTGCTGTTAGGGACTTCTGAGCCCAGCCCCCCAGGAATGCACACCTGCGGGGCCTGGTAGGCGCTCCGAGGGGAGTGGAGGCCCAGCCCTGACCTCCAGGGGGGCCACTCAGCTCAGAGGTGGCGGGAGTCTGGACAAGGGTCGGGTGGGTTTGCCCTGCTGGTGCTTTGCAATGGAATGATCACACTGCTTTGTGCTTCCTTTTCCTCATCTCCTGATGGCCCCCCCTCTCCTGTTCAGTCCTACTCTTTTAATGGTAAGGAAAAATAAATAAATAACGAAGCCACTAGTGGGCAGCATTTGTATTTTAATGAAGTGGAAAGAGTGTTGGGCATAACAAACCAAGTGGGGACCTGGCCACCTGGTGGCTTTGATGAACTGATGTGATACAGGTGAATTGTAAGTGCACATACATATAACTAGGGCGTGTGGGATGAGGTTGGGTACCCCATGGGGAGGCGAGGGGATGGGGAGGCAGAGATCTGTCTGCCCTGGGAGGCCACACTTCCCCCCCCACCGCCCTTACCCCCCCCCCCAAACAGCGCTCAGACCTGTCCCTCAGCTTGCCCGCCCTCATGCTCCCATCTCCCTTCCCCAGGTGGGCCTTGACCCAGGATGGCTGAGCCCCGCCAGGACTTCACCGTGATGGATGACCACGCTGGGACGTACGGGACGGGGGACAGGAAAGATCTCCCCTCTCAGGGGAGCTACACCCTGCTGCAAGACCAAGAGGGTGACGTAGACCAAGGCTTGAAAGGTGAGTGCACAGCCACGCATGTGCAACAGGCGTGGCGGGGGGCGGGGCGGGGGGAACGCCAACCCGCTTGCTCAGGAAGGAGCTGGTGCAAAACCACGAGATTTTAAAAGGAGCTTTAAATACTTGATTGTGTCGGGTTGTCAATAGAGCGAAGCCTCATGATTTGAAAGGGCCAAGGTAACTCAAAATGCGAAGCCATTTGAAAATGTACGCTTCCAGCGAAGGGTCTGACACGTGCGTGGACAGTAGTGTGACAAAGATTGCAAGGGACCTGTCAGTCTGATTAATACCAGGCACTCTCTTGAGTCTTTAGCTCCATCTATTAACCTTTAGATCAGCAGCATTCATGAGCATGCAAAATACTCGGCTTTTTTAAAAAAAAACTTTTTTTAATGTTTTATTTATTTCTGAGAGAGAGAGAAAGAGACAGTATGAGCAGGGGAGGGTCAGAGAGAGAGGGAGACACAGAATCTGAAACAGGCTCCAGGCTCTGAGCTGGCTGTCAGCACAGAGCCCGACGCGGGGCTCAAACCCACGAACCTGAGATCATGACCTGAGCCGAAGCTTAACCGACTGAGCCACCCAGGCGCCCTTCATGTTATTTTTATCTCCTCCTGAAGAGCCTGTCTGGGCCCTATTTCAGCAAGAGCTGGTCAGCTCTGTGATCCCGACTGTACCTACACTAACAAACTGCACCCTCTAAACCTCTAAATATCCTTTCTAATTTTTAAGTTTAGTTACTTATTTTGATAGAGAGAGAGAGAGCACAAATGGGGGGGACATAGAGAGAGAGGGAGACAGACAGAGAGAATCCCACACAGGCTCCTTACTGTCAGCACAAAGCCCGACACAGGGCTCGAACTGATGAACTGTGAGATCGTCACCTGAGCCAAAACTGAGAGCTGGGCACTTAACCAACTGAGTCACCGAGGCACCCCTAAACCCCTAGATATTCTACAATACAGTCTTTGGGCCAAGTTTTCTTGACCTCCTCCTCTCCCCTACCAAACACATGTGTTTCATTTCGGAGTTTGGGGAGTCCCTTGGAGGGAACCAAGCCCTCTCCCCTGCTTCACACTGTCCTCTAGGTCATTGCCTGTCATTGGCAAGCGAGCCCCAGTGTAAGAAGGACTCCATTCCTGCCTTCCAGACCCATTACGAAGGAGACAAAATAGCAAACAGCCTGCTATTCTCTTTTTGTGCTAAAAATAATAAGGACGCTTCGCAGCCAGGGGTGTGGAGTCGTGGCTGGGAGTAGGAGCTCCGTGGTGGGAGGGGTCCTCTTCTGGGTGCATCTGTCCAGGAAGCTTCCCTGCAGGAGGGAGGACCCCTGGGTTGGGGACACAGGAGGAACGATAATCCCTGCTTGCAGGACTCACTGTGGGGCGTGGTTTCAAAGGCGCCTTCTGTCTCTCTGTTGAAGCAGAGAACGAAGGAAGAAGTCAGAGGAAGCTGGGAATCAGGCCCCTGGCTGGAGGCACAGGAAGAGTGGACAGCTGTCCTGGGGAGCTCAAAGGCTGCCCTCTGGCCTTCTTGGGACCTCCCAGCCAGGTGCTGGGGGAGGGGAGTGGGCGGAAATACCCACACCAGCCAAGTATTCCAGGAGCCAGACCTTTCCCCAGGATGTCAGGCTCCAAATGGGTGAGAAATGTGTGTTCTTTTTTTTTTTTAATGTTTTATTTATTTTTGAGAGAAAGAGAGAGAGACAGCATGAGCAGGGGAGGGTCAGAGAGAGAGAGGGAGACACAGAATTCAAAGCAGGCTCCAGGCTCTGAGCTATCAGCACAGAGCCCAGCGCGGGGCTCGAACCCACGAACCGTGAGATCATGACCTGAGCCAAAGTCAGACGCTTAACCGACTGAGCCACCCAGGCGCCCCGAGAAATGTGTGTTCTTACCTCTTCCGGGCCATAGCCTGGCTCTGGCCAGAGCTGCTAAGGGGCAGCCTGCATGGGGGCAGTGAGGAAAGCTGCTTCCTCCTTTAAGTCCTGCTGGGTCCCCTTCTACCCTTTGTCCCCCACTCTGCCCCCCCATCTCCTCCCCTCCCATGATCTCCTTTTCTTCCTCCCCTCTTTCCCTTCCTGCCTTGATTTTCTTTCTCCTGCTGTCCCCCTCTACCCCCAAGGCTCTACAGCCCATTCTCCTTTTCTGTCCCCACCCTGACCCCAGCCATGTGGAATGAAGGGTGCCAGCCCCCAGGACCTCAATCCCAAAGGTTAGCAGCACCCTGTTTTCTCACTGCAGCCCTCCGTGGCTGAGGCAGCTTGGGGTGGGAGCCAGAATTCGCCTTGTTCCCTGATCCTCTGACCTCCTCACTGGGGCCCTAAAAGCCCTTTCTCTGAGGACCTGGGCCCACACATCCGCGTGCAAGTCTCTGTTCTGTGTCATGATGACCACTGCTGCTCCCACAGTCACGTGTCCCAATTTGGGTGATAAAGTCTATGGCAACCCTACTTATAAGGGAACTTCCTTGACATGGTAATTCGGGCATCTTTGCAGAACTCTAGGCTTGCAAAGGCCTTCACCACCAGCATCTCAGGTGATGCTCACAATAATGCTGACATCTGAGGGCGGATGTCACTTTCCCTGGTTGACAGATGACAAGCGGAATGTCCTCTCTGAGGTCAAGGGCTGGTACGAGGTGCTGCCCCATCAGAGAGACGTCTTTAGCTCCTTGTCATCCGCCCCTTGTCATTTAGCCAGTTCCCCTTGGAACATATGTTATTAAACCCTCATGGGTGGGATCCAACTTAGAATTCTGCCCGGTGTGAATTGTGCCAGTGACATTCTGTTTAGGGTAGGCTGGTATTAAAAATTAAATTTAAAATATATACTATGTTGCAACAAATATACCGAATAATATAGGATGTTAATAACTGGCGAAACTGGCTGTAGGGTATACTCTCTGTAGTATCTTTGCAGTTTTTTTCTATAAATCTAAAATGGTTCTCAAGTAAAAAAAAAAAAACTCATTAAAAAAATCTAGGAGAAAAAGTGGTTTTTACCATTCGTATTTTTTTGGAGGGGAAATGAAATTCAGTTTGTAAAGTTAGAACGAGTTTACCAAGTTATTTTGTGTCTCAGAGGTCTAAGGTACGTTTGCTAAAACTACTCAATTCTTTAATATAAAACATGATCAGAAGTTCTATGCTAAAACATATATATGAAATATCTATCTCTATCTCTGTATCTATATGTGCAGAACTTAAGTTGCTAGCCTTTTCGTTAAAGCTGTGAAAGGGAAACATTTGTAGATAGTTTGTTTACCCCAAAAAATATACTTCCCAAGAAAGCAAGTGATACTTAAGAGATTTCCATCACTCTCCTCAAATTTGTTCTTGCTACTAAGGATTTAGAATGAGTTATTTTTATATGGGGAGCAAGCGGTATGACTTGGCAGAAGATGTCACTTTACTAGCAACATGTTAGGTAAGTGACAGACTATTTTGAATGATGGCAAGAAACCACGTGTAAAATACTAGAACAAAGAGTATCGATGTGGATGCCCAAAGTTGGACAAGGACTAGATACAGCCAAGAGCTGCCAGGTGGGTGAGGTGAGCGCTGGTTAACCCATAGAGTAATGCACCCTAGGGAATTTAAAGGTGTTTATGGGTTAACTTGTTACATCTTCCAGATAAGACATTCAGAAGAGGCTTTTTCCTCCTTATCTCCCCCCAGCCCCTCCAAGAAATGTAACAAGGCTAATGCAAATGATGCAGATGGCAGGCTCGGGGACAGAGTGGGGGAGGGGCCCTCGGAGGACAAGCTTGCTCAGAGCACTCTCTAGTCCATACCCTCCTGTGCTCTGACAGTCAAGCCTGGTCAGTAATAACAAGACCCAGCAGACAGTCAGCAGATGCTTCCTCACCATTTGCCCAAAGCCTCCCTGGGGCGGTTGCAGGTTTGTGTACTTGCCCCAGGACCAGGGAGCTGCGTGTGTGCTGGAAATTGTTTAGAATTAGCCCTTCTTTGGCCGGATGGTCGCCCCCAGGGCTAGGTATCCGCTGATGGCATTTTAGCAGCGGGTGTTGGATCTCTCCGTGCAGTTGAACACCGCTTGCCCTTTCTCATCTTGGGGTCCTGCTTTGTACACAAGCCAGGCCTGCAGACCCTGTCCTCACCCCCAGGAGTGGCTTTCCCGGAATCCACCAGAGCCTCCTTGGCAAACATTTCAGGTGTGACTCCAGTCCTGCTGGTCAGTACTTGGAGATCCTTCTAGGAAACGAGCTGGGTGATGTCCAGACACACAAGCAGATGTCCAGTTAGAAGGCACTGTGTCTGTCCCCTTTTCAGAGGAAGGAGTTGGATCGGAGGGGTTTTCCAGGTGTCTGCTCGTCATGGATGAGTGGCAGTGCTCTCCCGTGAGCCTCTCCATCAGGAAGGACCCAGCAGTGGGCTTCGTAATATCAGCGGCCCTTTTGTCAGTTTAAGAGCCGAGTCTCGGCTGAAACCGCGAGCTGATTAAAAGGCAGTTTCTCCTCCTGCCCGGGACCAAGCACCTGCATCTTTGCCTGATGACCCTGGTGTGGGGACACCGTCGTGTCGGGATGGGGGTGGGACTGGTCCCCTCTGTGGATGTATCACGCGGCCACGCCCCATCCATCTGGGCTCCGCGCTGGGTGGTTTTCAGCTCCGAAACGAAAGACACCGCTCCCCATTTCCTCCTGCAGAAGGAAGGAGGGGAGGGGAGAGGCAGCCATTCTGAGGGGCTCATTGTGTATGTTCCAGAGTCTCCCCTGCAGACCCCCGCTGATGATGGATCTGAGGAACCGGGCTCTGAAACCTCTGATGCTAAGAGCACGCCAACGGCGGAAGGTGGGCCCTTCTCTCCTTGCCTCACTGAGACAGCTCGTCCGTGCCTCCAGCCTGCGCTTGGCCATGCTTTGAGCCCTGCGTGCCGCTCTTCCCGGCTGCCTCCGCTGCTGCCTCTCCCTCTGGCTGACAGCCGTGCTTGTCCGGGGCTTTGCAGGATGGGCTCGGGCTCGAGAATGTCCCGGGAGCCAAGCCCTGCTTGGATGCCTAGCTCGCTGGTGCCGTGTTTGGACACCTTCATCGTGTGTGTGCTTTGAGGCAGCCACGTTTGGAGAGGCTGGGTTTGTGGCAGAGGGGGGCCTGAGCACAGCTCCACAAAGCCCCCGGTCCGTGTCAGCTGTTCCCCCCGCCACACACACTCCTTCAGAAGCCCCCACCCGCCTTGCCCTTCTCTCATGAGCCACCGGGTCCCAGAGCAGCCATTTGGCTGAGGAAGGGGGGGAGGGCAGGGTCGGTGCACATCTCCAGGCTCATGCTTTGGGACTGATCTGTTTAGTATCCTTCATTTCCTGGGTTCTGGGCTTGGTCTGGGGCTCTGGACCTTGGTGGACGTGTTCGTTCTGGCACGCCTTCTAACCTGTCCTCTAGACGTTTGGTGTCTAGGTTATTAGAAAGCTCCTCATGTATTTTTGAAGAGCTCCTTCATCCTGATTTTGACCACTTTGTCTTGCTTCCCGTCTGAGTCAGTCGAGACTGCATTTGATTTCAGGTCATGGAAGGCCCAACTAGCTGTGGCCTAGGTATGAAGAGGTTTATTTGTCTCACATAATAACATGTCTGGAGGGCAGCAGGTCTCCAGTGTGATTGGTGCTCTTCTGTCTTTATCTTCTGCCGTCTTTAATGGTTGGATTGTTGCCTCATGGTTACAAGATGGCTGCTGCACTTCCAAGCATCACATCTGCTTTCCAAGCAGGAAGAAAGTAGCAAAGCAAAGTGGCTAAAAGGGCCCTGAAATCAAATGTGTTTCCTTTTTTATTAGGAAAGCAGTTTTCCTGCGAGCCCCACTTAGCCGACTTCCACTTGTGTCTCGTTGGCCAGAGCTGAATCTCACAGCCACCCCTCGCTATATGGGGGAGGCTGGGACATGGAGCATTTTGCCTTTCAGACTCACGAGTAGGAGAAATCAAGGGAGAAAGGCACTGAGAATGGCTCTGTAGGAACCAGTCTGCGGTATCTGCCCTTCCATCTCTCTACCCTCCCCAGGGAGGCTCATGGTTGTCTTCTCAGTACTCTCCTCCTCCTGGCTCTGCCCATGACTTTGGAGGCTGTCACAGGATGAGAACCTGGCCCGGTATCTCCCCAAGTGTCCACCTTTGAATGAATTGAGAAAGTGACTGTGAAGTGCCTGCCAGTCTCTTGGTGTAAGGGAGCGTCTGTTGGGGAGGAGGTGGGTGTGGCCCTGGCCCCGTGGTTCTCAGCCTGGTGAGAATACCCAAGCCACGGGCTCTTTGCTCTCCTTCTTAGACCTGCTGATGCAAGACATTTCCCGCTGATCTGGTTAGGACAGTTTTGCAAGTTGCTACCGCCCTGAGAAGGTCCTCAAACACAGGCGCCAGGCTTCATAGCAGCCTCCCAAATCATGGCTTTGGGAGTGCCCCCGTCCACATTATTCTGGGAGAATCTTCCAACCAAGGCTCGCTGCACTCTGGATCCTGTATGTGTGTGGGCCCTGGGAGCTTCCACTCCCTCCCCACGAGGATAGGGACTCTGCTGGGACTGGGCTTGGCCAGGCTGCCCCGCTGCTCCCGAGAGGACCGTAATTAGACTGGATTCCATTTCACTATATTGACTCAGGCTCTTGGAAAGCTTTCAAAGCTGACAACTCCTTATGTCTGCTGGAGCGGCCTGGGGGTGTGCCAGGACACTGCTGGGGGCAGGGGGGGGACTGCAGATTTAGAAGGTGCTCACCCTGATGAGAGGCCGGCAGCAGCTCCTTGTGGTGGGTTTTTACCTCTGGCCTCTGCTCTGTAGGTGGGCCATCTGTACGCCCGTCGTCAAGCACTCAGCTCTGGACAGGACCAGCCTGTTCATTGCCACCCGGGAGAGTCTGTGCTTTTAACCATGAGCCATGGACTTCCAGGACAGGGGGCTTAGAGCTGGAAGAGGACTTGAAAGTCACCTGGCAGTGATACTCCCATTTTGCAGATGAGGAAACTGAGGCCCAAAGAACACAAAGGTCTTGCTCAAAGTCTCACAGCGATCATCTGATTTTCTACATTTCTTCTTTAAAAACACCCGGGCCCGGACCCAGCAGTCTCTTCTGCTGCAGTGTCCACACAGGGGCTGTCCCCCGCAGGTGGCCTGGGCATCCCATGAGGCGATGCCGCCAAGCAGGATATTCATGTGCTTCCTGGGGAGACATCAGGCAGGGGTGCGGCCATGGGCCCTGCTTTGTGGTGTTGCTTTCTGCATGCCGCTGAGTCCCCTCCTGCCTCCCCGCCCCTGCCTGCTCCCACTCTAGAAATAAGGTGAGGGGCTTGGCCTGGCTTTCCTAGCCTCCTTAAGGCGACTCTCGGTTTCCAGATGCAACAGCGCCCTTAGTGGATGAGGGAGCCCCCGGCGAGCAGGCGGCCGCCCAGCCCCACACGGAGATCCCAGAAGGAACCACAGGTGAGGGTGACTCCCATGGCCGGGTGGAAATGGCCCTGGCCGGGTGCCCTGCTGCCCTGCAAGAGGAGTGGGTGCGAATAGGGCTTATGCTCTCTCCGAGAGAGGCAGCAATGTGGGTGGACTCCCGGTGTCTGGGAATCTTGGGTCATTCCGAGCTTGGTGCCTTGATGCCCGATTGCTTCCGTGGCTGCCTGCCAGCCTCCCAGAGGTCAGGGAATCTTCTTTCTGGATTCCTTCCAGCTTCTCCTCTTCCATCTCAGCTAGCACATCAGCTCCAAGCTCTCTGCAGGGTCCTCCGAGGCAGGCTGGTGGCAGATTCTGCCTTCTTCACTCCCGGGCTCAGTCCACCCTCCTGCTGGGACTCTGCCCAGTGACAGGGTCACCTTCTAGTGGACAGTTTACCCCCTGGGGCACCCAAGCATGCGGCAGGGTCTGATGACTGACCCACACCTTTGGAGGATTTAATGGGACAGCCCCTAAGGAGCTCAGCAGTGTGACCTAGCACCCATTTCTAGAACTAGCTTCTCCGACGTATCTGCATGGAAGAGGCATGATGAGACTGTCCTGTCAGCTCAGTTGATGGGAGTCACGCACACGGGCACTGACCAGAAATCGTGGTGGCCTCAGGCCACGTGGGGCCCTTAGGAAACGACCTAGTTCAGCCCAGAGCTCTGGCTGTCATCCCCTTCTCAGCGTGTCCTTGGGGCTCATGTAAACCCTCTGCCATTGGCTCGCTGGTGTAGAAGGCGCCCAACACGATGCTGAAGACTTCCGGACAGGATTTCACCAGCACCGGAGAGTGGGGGAAACGCCCCCACACTGGAACCTTCTTTCCTTCCTAAAGACGGTGCTCACGGCAGCTGTCTGGGAAACTGCAGCTTTTCCTCGGGGCTTCTTTTGTTGAGAACCCCCATGCAGAGGTCAGCAGTAGCCCCAGCTCGGCAGAAGAGTTCCTGCTTTGTGAGTTGGTCTTTTGAGATGGACGGAGGGGGCTGTTCTTGAAGCCGGACGGGGTTCCCTCATCCTTGACACTTGAGCGTCGTTTGAAGGCTGTGCAATGACTCATGGGACAAGATCTTGGATAACCTGATTTTTGTACCCCACTCCCACCCTGTGCCTCTATAGTTACTCAGTGGGAGAGCCCCTGACTTTTCCCCTCCCAGGGTGAAAACTATAGGCCACTTCTGACTTTTTCATCACTGCTAGGTAATCAAAAGTACTTTAGTCTCATCACAAAACAGAGTTTGCGAGTGCTGGTTAGAATGTCCAGTTCCATGAAGTAGCCTAAGCTCATTCAGGGTTGAAGCCCTCCCCTTTGGGGCTGCGGAGGTGGAGGGGTCGGGAGGCAGGAAAATGTGTCCTGGATTGGCACCACTGTGTGCCGGCTTCACCTTCTCTGCAGTGTCTAACGTTGCTCTCTGTCGTGTGGGTACCTGTTTGGAATCCTTCCAGACCCTGCATCCCAGTTATCCCCCAAAGGTCCCTCCCTCTGCACTTGCTTCCAGCAGACAGTCCACTCTCCTCAGCCCCTTGGAATTTGAAGACCACCCCCAGCTTTCTGCTGAAGTCAACTGGCTTCTATCGGAGGCGCCATGGTCCAAGGCGCCTCCACGCTGCTGCTCCCCTGGGCCCCTATCGGGTCTGTGGGAAACACATGGGCAATTTGCCCAAGCAAACTTGGGGTATGTGACCACAGGGCTGCAGGCACGCCCCTTCGCTCTGCCGCCAAAGCAGGGCCAGCCCATCTCTCCTCTGGTTTTCCCAGGTGGGGTGCTGACAGCAGTCCGCCATGTCACCAACCACCGGGGACATGCACCCAGTGTCTCCGGGTGGTGCCTTGAAACCCTTCCATTGGGACTGAGATGGGTGGTGGCCTCGTAGCCGCCCTCCACGCTCCCAAGCCACCCTCTCCACCCTTTACATCCTCAACGAGCTAGGAAGGATTTAGATTTGGGGGACTTTTTTTTTCAGCTGTTGACTTGGATGACATGTACCCTAGTTTCATCCTTGCTTAGCCGTCTCACATTGTTGAAACTTCTCCTCTGAGGCCTATTTGAGGGTGTAGTGTGGCCGCCCCACAGCAGGAGTCCCTGCCTGGCTGGGATGGGAGCCCCTGCCTCTTGGGGCTTCGGGGAAACGGAAAGGCCCAGCCACGGTCACACACCCTATCTCCTCCCTTTGGCCTCTCTGAGCACCTCCCCTGCTGGGAACTGGGAAGTGGGGAGGGCGTCAGAGTTATCAGCAGCCTCCAGTGTCTGACAGGCACCAGGGCCAGGATACTGCAATTCTGCACCTGCATGGGAGTGCAGTGACTTCCCAGTGCCCATGGCAGTGACGTCATCCCCTTTCCCCCCCAACCTCCGCGCCGCGTTCTCTGTCTCCAGGACTCTATGCCACTTAGCTAGACCTGCTGCCACTCTGAACCTTTCTACCACAGCCTCATCAGAAACGCAGACCACATCTGTCTCGAAGCTGCCACTACTTGACCTCATGGGTGGCAGTGTCCTGTTGGTGGGGGGGAAGGGGACAGAGCATGGTCGCGTTTATGATCTGGCAGATGGGGAGCCCATTGCTGGTCCCCCCACCGCCCTCACTGGAGCTGTTCTGGTAGAGCCAATGGGCCAGGTGTTTATAAAGCCGTCATGCAGCTGTCCAGCGACCCAGAGAATCTTTTCCCTCTTCCGTGCTCTCCACGGTGGGTCTGAGCTGGTGCCTTAGCATTTCTGTTTTAGGTGTGAAATTGTTATCATCGCAGGTGTGGAAGAAAAGACCGGTGGCCCAGCCAGCAGCTTGTAAGGATTTCTTAGGGGTGGTGGCTCCTCTGTCTCTGTCCATCAGGGCATGTTGGTTCTTCCGGGGTCCTGAGGCAAGTGTATGTCAGTGCGTGGCCAACTTGCTTATAAACTCTTTCTTCTACACAATTGTATCCATTATCCCGGAGTGAGCAATGTCCTGGTTTTTCATGGCGCGGAAATTGGCATTGCAGTAAAGCTTGTTGACTTTGGCACTGTTGGTGATGTGATCTTCTTCATTGGGGGTGAGCCCAAGACACCCCAAAAGCTGCTCACTGGCGCTGCTGGCCTCCTTCTAATCAGGTAGCACCTACTCCCGGCAGGTGGTTACAGGGGTTTGCCCAGTAGTTTGGAGAAAAGAACCTGATCAGCTTTGGGGCACCTCCCATACACCTGGCATCTCATTAAACACAGTTGTACAAATTCTCGTGTTAACCCTCACCATCGTCCTCCGAGACAAGCCGGTATCATCACCTTGGGGGGCTAGATGAGGAAACAGAGGCTCAGCGAGGTTACATAAGTGGCAGTACCTGGATGTGAACCCCAGCCTGACTCCACAGCCCACACCTGGTGCTTCCTTATGCCCTGAGCACCCCAGGAGCACTGGCCGGGGCTGCTGCGTGGCCATGGTTCCCGTGGTGGTGGTTGAGCAGTAAACTGCTCCTCTGACCTCACCCACCCTGCGTGTCTTTGTTGAGTGAGGCGCTCGCGACCCTGGGCCCACCGCAGAGAAGGCCTTTCCTACAGGATCATGGTCACCTGTAAGGTGTATGGGTACGGTGGGGTGCATCCAGTAGCCTGCATTTGTCGACATCCTCAGCAATAATATTTGCAAAGAGCCAGAGGCTCAGCCCCTTGGTACTCGTGAGATGTGCCTTTCCTGAATGTTTTCAGAAAAATACCAGAAGATGCAGAGAACTTTGTTTCTGGCAAACAATAACTGCCTTTGCTTATATCTTCTTCATTTGCTGACACATAAACCAGCTGAAGAAGCGGGCATTGGAGACACCCCCAACCTGGAAGACCAAGCCGCTGGACATGTGACTCAAGGTCAGTGGGCTAGAATCGCCTCCCACGGCTTGGGGGTCGGGAGGAGGGAGATGGCAACATTCAGATGGGCTCTACCTGAAAAGAAAATTTGCACCCGGACCCTAATTCACGGGTCCAGGAGGTTCTTATCGAAGACGGACAATCAGACATAGAAAGAGCTCTGGCCACACGTACACACACTCTTCTTTTTTTCCTAACACTGTTTCTGAGTTATTCCTAAGGTGTTTAGTGTCCTGAAAGACGCTGCCCCTGTCCAGCCTGGGGAGTCAAGAAAGAGTGTCCAACAGAAATTCACATGTGCATGATAGGTGACTTTCTCCACAGGCTCCCCTCTGGCCCTGTCCCAGGAGCGAGGGCTCAACCACATCTCCACCAAAAAATTTCTTTTCAACTTTCTTCTGTGCAATGTTCAGAGCTTATTATGATTTTCTTCCCAGGGGCCAAAACTGCTGTGTACAAGTAGACCAACTTTCTGTAATCGTTTAGCCCAAACGTTTTAAGAACTTAATTTTATAAATCTTAAAGATTCCTTATCTCAGGAAACGGAGACCTCTGATATAATATGGCTCTAGGTTCATTTTCTGTCACCTGCTGCATCAATGAACTGGAGAGTCTATTGTATCATATGGAACTTTCTAGATTGCAAAAGAGCTAGAAAGACACTGTTTTTTTCCTGCAGAAAGTGATATGGGATTTGTCCAACATCAGTGCTGCCACTGGGGCCACCTGGCTTTAGGAAGACTCTGAGCCCAAAGTGTTTCATTGAGGGTATTTTTTTAATTTTTATTTTTTAAATATTTATTTATTTTTGAGAGAGAGAGAGACACACACACACACACAGCATGAGCAGGAAAGGGGCAGAGAGAGACAGAGACAGAATCTGAAGCAGGCTCTGGGCTCTGACTGGCTCTAGGGTCTGAGCTGTCAGCACAGAGCCTGATGTGGGGCTCGAACCCATGAGTCGTGAGATCATGATGTGAGCCGAAGTCGGATACTTAACTGACCAAGCTACCCAGGTGCCCCTTTATTGAGGGTATTTTGAAGGCTAACTATTCATTGCTGCTGCCAGAGGAGTTATTGCCCCAGAGTGAGCTAACCTCATCTCACATGGCATAGAGAAGCATGTTTTCATTCTTAGACTCACAGAGAGCTTCAAAAATATTAGAAGGGATAATCAGTGTAAGGGGGAATCCCAGTCTGTGCGTTAAAGAACTAGAATAGAAGCCTGCCACCTGTTTCTTTCAGGTCATGATTTTCAAGCTTCGGTAAAATTAGAGGCTGTTATAACCACTGGAAATGATCATTTGTTTCCATAGAAAGAAGTGGATTTGAGCTTTTTTCTACAAATATTTATTACATGCTAGGTATTCCTGTCCCTGCAAACACATTCCATGCAGTGAAAAGATTAGGCCAACATGTTTTGTGGGAACTTTGTTTTCATGCTCACACAATTTTTAAAAAAATTTTTAAATGTTTATTTATTTTTGAGAGAGAGAGTCAGAGTCTGGGTGGAGGTGGGGGCAAAGAGAGGGAGACACAGAATCTAAAGCAGGCTCCAGACTCTGAGCTGTGAGCACAGAGCCTGACATGGGGCTCAAACCCACGAACCGTGAGATCTTGACCTGAGCTGAAGTGGGATGCTTAACAGACTCAGCCACCCAGGCGCCCCTGTACTCACTCAGTTTTTACATTTTTCCCCATCAGTGGCCTAGACTTATGTAGCTATAAAGATGACCACCAGCTAGACTTTGCAATGGGAAGTTGGCACCAGATCATGAAAACATGAGGTTTCTTTTTCTTTTTTTCTTTTTTTTAATGTTTTTATTTATTTCTGAGAGAGAGAGACAGTGTGAGCAGGGGAGGGTCAGAGAGGGGGAGACACAGAATCAGAAGCAGGCTCCAGGCTCTGAGCTAGCTGTCAGCACAGAGCCCGACATGGGGCTCGAACCCATGAACCATGAGATCATGACCTGAGCCGAAGCCGGACGCTTTAACCAACTGAGCCACCCAAGCGCCCCAAAACGTGAGGTTTCTACCTCTGTTCCTAAGGAAGACTTGATTAGGACTCTGCTGGTCCAAATTGATGAGGCCTATTCTTTCTAGTGAAGCCTTGTGACAATCGGACCTGCTCATGATCCACAAACACACTTTATTTGCCCAAGGGCTGTAGTCAATTTTCAGATTTAGAAAGAGCCATCTAACAAAAGCATAGTTATTACATCTTCTCTTTGCAGTTTCTGCTGCAGAAAGAAAGCCTCTGGTAGCCTATGTTCATGAACACCTGCCAAACAAGGACATTTCAGGATGGCACTGCAGTGAGTGGCCAGACTTTACCCATGTCCTGGGACACATGACCTTTCTACTGTGTCATGAAGACCAGGCCTCCTGAGAGGGATGTGTGGGGAGAGTTTATCCAGAGTCCTGAGGCCTTCACACTGTTTGCCCAGATGTTGTTCACCTATATTGCTATGTTTATTACTTACTGAGAACTGCATAGTATTCTAGAAACTGAATAGAATATTCTCCCAGCCTCGCTCCTTCCTCCAGAAATATAGTTGCATGACGAAAGGTTCAGTCAATACGCACACACTGTACAATCAAATATTGGTGACTTTTCAAGGACTGTTTACTATTTATGTTTGGGGGCCTTTGTCTCTTTTTTTTATGTTTATTTATTTGTTTTGAGAGAGAGAGAGAGAGCATGTGAGCTAAGGAAGGTCAGGGAGAGAGGGAGAGAGAGAGGGAGCGAGACTCCCAAGCAGGCTCTGGGCATTGTCAATGCAGAGCCTGATTCAGGGCTCAATCCCATGAACCATGAGATCGTGATCTGAACTGGAACCAAGAGTAAACGCTCAACCGACTGAGCCACCAGGCACCCCCTTCCTTTTTCTCCCTTTTAATGAAGATCATTCCAAGTCCTACAGTCTATTAGAGTATAGTAACATCCTGACCAAGAGCAATTTCTAGAAAGCTGTGGGAGGAAAGGTTTTTCCAGAAGGCAAGGACGCATGGCGCATCAAGGAGGTGTAAAGACTAGCAAATCTGCTGCGGCCTCTGGTCTGTTGAGCTGGTTGGTTGCTGAGAAGTCATGGCGCTGAGGCACCTCCTCAGGTTGTCTGGTCCCTGCATCTCTGTCATTTGAGCTCTTCTTCCCAGAGACTGACCAACGGTCCCAGTAAGGTGCCTGTAGACCCTGCAGAAAGCAGAAATGAGCATATTTTCCTGATAGCCGTTCACCAGGGAGGATTCCGTTATTGATCATCGCTATATGGCAGGCACTGTGATTGATGCCGGGAACAGGCAATGAATGAGATGGAGATCACGAGGCCCTGGTGTAAGGGTCAGGGTGGAGGCGAGCCAACGGGCAGCTACAGACTCTGCGTGGGTGGGGAGAGGGGGCGGGCACGTGTTAGCCGTGTGTCCACAACTGCATGCCTGTGTGCACATCTTCCTGCCCTCAGCTCTTCCAGTCCCCTGAATCTTTGGGGTTCTGGGTTTGTTTAGAGGAGAGCTGTGGAGTTGTATGGGCTGTCCTACTGAAACTAGGTGGGAAGTTTAAAGGGTGGGAATTAAAAAACAACAGAGGATGTTTATTAGGAGTACCGAAGAGCATGACTCTCCTGTCCTTAATACAAGGTCAGGTTCTTTAAGGAGAGCTCATGTGAACACTGCACGGATGAGCCAGAAAGCGTGAAGTGTGCCCTCCACCAGCCACCAGCGATGTGACCAGGAGAACCCTGTGGGCTCCTGGGCTGGCGATGCCTTTGCAGGACCCTTCAGGGCCACAGTAGTCTGCTTCACCTTATGCAAAAGGCCCTGCCCTTGACCCATGAGCCAGATACATCTGAATTGTGCTTCTCTTTATAAGAACCTTATGGTTTCTGCTGATGATAGAGTTTGGATTTTCCAGATCTATCAGAGCATGGGGCTTGAGGCCAGGTTGGTTCATTTCCAGCCCTGCTGGATTCATTTTGCAAAAAGGGGAAACAGAGAGAGGGAGAGAAAAGGGATCCTCAGAGCATCCAAGCCAGATCTTATATCTAGAGGCCAGAATCTTCAGGAAGCTCAGTGTCCCTTGGAGAGAAGGGGAAGCTTCTGTAGCCTAGTGGATTCAGCACAAGGCAGCTCCATGGTGGGGCCAGCAGCCCTGGGTATGGTGATGTACTCCGAGCCCACCCAGAGCCAGTGATAGAGGAATAATGCTGGTGCAGATGGGGCCATAGAGATCACCAGGTCTAGCACCCCTGTTACAGATGAGAAAACTGAGGCCCAGAGAGGGGAGGTGCTCACACAGTGTCACCCAATGAGTGTGACATGAGTCAGTGTTAGGTAAGCCAATAGAGCTTTCATTCTGAGCAAAGGAAGACAACTGAGTTAAGCCCAGAGCACTCTCTTTGTGAGTTGGCCTCGTGATGCTGTTTAAATGTCCTTTTCTTATTTCAAGAGCGCGTTCCCTCTCTTAAACAATTAATGCATCCCTACCAACCTTTGGCCACTGCTGCCTCTTCAAACCCAGAGTTGCTGGGAATTTCCAGCCAGCAGAGGGAGGTACCTGAGAGGCCCCTGGCCAATGTGCTTAGCTCTCAGGATCAGCCGGACCACAGCAGAGAAGCTTCTGGGGTCTCCGGGCTGCCTGTGGGGGAGAAACAGCCGGGGGCCCCTGTCCTGGTGACCACTCCCAGCATCATCCCATCTGCCAACCCCCTTCTCCAACAGGAGGCCCTCAGGAGCCCCCCCAGGAGTGGGGACCAAAACCAGGGGATGGGGTCAAGGGGCGTCTGGCCTTTCCGAAGCCCACCTCCCCTGGATATCTCCAGACGGAGCCTGGCAGTGTCAAGGTTGTGCAGGAGATCGTCCTTGGGGAGCCGGGGCACCATAGAGGTGAGGCTGCCGCCCCGGGCACCCCGGGTCTGCCCCGCCAGCACGTGTCCTACATGCCTGAGGGCCCCATCCTGCCTGATGGCCCAAGGGAGGCCACACAGCAGCCTTCAGGGACAGAACCAGAGGACACGGAGGGAAGTCGCCGTGATGTGGAGCTGCTGGAGTACGAGCTATTGGGAGACCTGCGCCGGGAGGCGCCACCTCTGAAGGGGGACCATGGCAAAGAGAGGCGGGGGGGCGAGGATGTCGATGAAGACCGCGACGTGGACGAGTCCTCGCCCCAGGACTCCCCCCCCTCCCACGTCACCCCAGGTCTGCAGAGCTCCCCAACCCGAGGTGGGCCACCCCCTCAGACAGTTTCCAGAGGAGCCACTGGCTTCCCCGGGTTCCCAGCTGAGGGTGCCATCCGCCTCCCTGTCGATTTCCTCTCCAAAGTTTCCATGGAGACTGAGGCCTCAGAGCCCCCCGGGCTCAGTGCAGGGCCCACGGCGGAAGGGCAGGACACGCCCCCCGAGTTCACCTTCCACGTGGAAATCACAGCCAACGTGCAGAAGGAGCAGGCACGTTCAGAGGTGGATTTGGAAGGGCCTGCACTTCCGGGCCCCCCTGGAGAGGAGCAAGAACCCCAGGGCCCTTCTGAGGGAGAGGACACAAAAAAGTCTGACCTTCCAGAACCATCAGAAAGGCAGCCTGCACCTGTTCTGCCAGGGAAGCATGTCAGCCGGGTCCCTCAACTCAAAGGTCTGTGTCTTGAGCTCCTTCAATCCTTCCCATCAACCTCGTGTGCCACCCAGGCTGCGGGCACTGCCACTGAGCTTCCGGCCCTTCCTTGAGTCCTGCTGCTTCTGAGGTTCCCAGGATAACCGCTCCACGGACCAGCTGGGCACTGCTGCACACCCTCCTGTGGCCTCCTCCCGTCCCTCAGCCTCTGGTAGCACGCGCTGCCCTCACGCTTGCCCGCCGTTCTGCATGTCACCACCCCCCCGCCCAGTGCTTTCCACCCCGTTCGTTTCTCTGGCCACTCGAGTTATTTACTGCGGTCTACCAGCCCACAGCTGGTTGGTGTGCTGCCCCCCACAGGGTGGATGACAGCCGGTTCCCTTATGTGCCCCCAAATTCACTGTCTAGAACCCTCCCAACCCTTCCAAGGGGACAAAATAAGCCCCGCTTTGCAAACGAGGAAACTGAGGCTCAGAGAGGGAGGAAAGTAACTCGCCAAAGGTCACCAAGCAGTAGGGGACAGAGCCACATTCACAATCCGGGTGGGTCTGCTGTGCAAGTCACACTCTGCCCTGGTCAGCACAGCGCCTTCCAGAAGGTTCTCCGAGCCCAGAGACACAGGGGCCGTGAGCCTTCCTGTGCTGCTCATCCATGGACAACACATCACATGCAGCAGACGACATGTGTGAGGATTTGGGGTAGCCGAGAGCCTATGCTGAGCCCTCTGCCCAACAGCCCCCACCCTGACCCACCCTGCCTTGTGGAAGGGGAGACAATAAGCAGAAACCAAACATTCCTGTCTCAAATCTTCTCCTCCTCCCTTGGCAGAGCTTGGGGACCCTATGCTGGGATTACAGGGGCCTCAGCCCCAGCCCGCTCGACCACAGCAGCCCGTCGGGTGCTGGGGAGGTAGGAGGGGAGGTTCCCCCATGTTGGAGTCTCTGTGTCCTGTCAGGAAGACGAGGCCAGAGGAGGTCTCAAGGGTACACATCGGGCACATTCATACATGTAGGACCTCTAGCGTCTGGAATTATTTGCAGGGCCCAGAAATGACTGTTTCCTGAGCCGTCCGTTACAAGCCTTTGTTGCATTTTTATTAGATTTTACTTGTCAAGAGAACTTAGAAATGTTGTAGATAAAGGAACCTGTATTAAAATTGAAGACCGAAAAAAAAAAAGAAATCATATATCCTATTTTAAAATGTCCTAAATTCCAAAATAGTTGGGCCAATAACTGTGATGTGGCAGATTATAACAGCGTTTCCTGAAATGGTGTTTGGTGAACACTGGCTATTGATGGATGTATCCAGGGGAAAAAGAGTTCCATGGTCCAATTAGTTTGGGAAAGACAGGCTGAGCAAAGTGAAGCGAGGTTTGCTGCAGCAGGACTTGTCAGAACCTTTAATATTCTAGTGCACATTATGACGCTCTGAGAAAAGACGTACAGAGTATGGAGTTCCCAAATTTATGTGATCCCACCTGCTCACATCTCCTGGAGGAGGACCTGTCCGGGAGCACCCAATTTGGGAAATGCACATCTAGCAGCTGCTTTTGTTGTGACATGGCGGTGGCGGCGATAGTTGATTCAGGCAAAAGATGTGAAACCGGTCCATCTGGGGCTCTTATTAAAATGCATATTCCTAGCCCCCACCTTAAGCTTACAGAGTCTTGGGTGGGCCCTGGAATCTGTGTTTTTTCTCAATGGTTCTGCTGCGTAGTACTTGGTGAAACTCTGCGGGCTAGATCATCACTTCGGGTCACTCTAGAAATCCAGGCTCCAGTGGCCAGTGTGAAGCTCCAAGACACCCCATTGACCCTCTGGCAGGCAGAATGTGATATTGAAACCAAAGATGAAAATCTGTCGTCAATTTTCAACAAAGAAAGTCCACAGAAGGAAAGGATGGGTTGGAGATAGTGCTGGCAGATGTGTGGTTCCCCAAGGGGTGTGGCACTTACACACAAAAGTCGTCAGTGGTTTGGTTCTGAACTCCAGAGATGATCTGTTAAGATGCTTGACCATAGTTTGTACCTAATTTGGGAAAATGGCAAGGATTAGTCCCCCTGGGGAGGGCCTGTAGGAGGCGAGGAGAGCCCCCCCGGGCTGGCATGGAATGGGCTTGTCGGAGGGCAGCTGGGGCTAGTGACTAATCCCCTCTAGTGAGGGGCAGGCTCTGTGCAAACCACTCACTTACCCTGTTGGGTGACAGCATGAGTGGGGGGTGGTTCTACAGAAGGCTGGAGCATAGCTGAGCTTCCCCATCTGTGGCCCTGGGGCCGCCAAATGCCCCTCCTTGGCACGGAGGTGGGGTCCCTGCTGGATGAGGCTGACCCTGGCCGAGACAGGAAAGGAGCCTTTGAGAAATGGGATCTGCAGTGTCTCCGATCCCCATCGCCCCCGTGCCCGCGTGTGCCTGGAACACGTTTTCACTGCGCCCCCTCTGCATGTCCCCACCCTCGGCCAGCCTGCTCCAAGCAATGACCCCAGTGTGCTGTGTTGATACTAACAACGAGAGACCGATTCAAGGGGAAAGAAAATGAACTGGATTTCCACCAAGCCCCGCTGAACAAAACACATTGCACTGATCCCGAGAAATCAGCGGTAACTACATCCAGCTCTTTCTGGGAGCTGTGCAAATGGGTGTAACTTACACTCTCGTTTTATATCTTATCAGCTCGCATGGTCAGTAAAGGCAGAGACGGGACCGGAGCTGACGACAAAAAAGCCAAGGTAAGCTGAGGAAATTGTGAGCCTCCGCCAAAGTCAGGTTTATCAGGAAGCCATGCTTGTATGAATTAATTTGTCTGTGTCACATGTGGAGAGCATCTGCCGCTGAAGGATGACTGTCATTAGAAGTGCTTTGTATTCTTATGCAAACTTTTCAAGTTCCAGCATTTATCCATTTTGATGCTTCTGCCAGGGAAGGGCGGTCGGCAGGTTAATGAATGAGCACTCCTAATTGCAATGTCATTAGCAGAGTTGAAATGAGATGTTCGCAGCAAACGAAGATGCATTTGAACTTTCTGCGGTTAAGTTTGAATTTTGCACATCTTACACTTCCCACTGCAGATCTAGGATCAGCAAACATCTATACACACACACACACACATTTAAGGTGAATAGAGAATATCATTTACTCAGGTGGCTGAGGGAGCATTGATCAAGGAAGTGACCTCTCACCTAAGGTGGAGGGTTCTGGAATCGCCTGAGGAAGAGGACCAGTGAGGCAGGCCATGAAGGAAGTGTAAAGGAGGGTTGCTGAGGCAGAGGTGGGAGCAGCATTCTGAGGAGTGGGAACAGCACAGCAAAGCCCAGAAGCATGAGGAAATGGTGCGTGCTCTGAGAACTCGAAGCAGCTGGGTTGGCTGCCGCGGAGCGCCAGGAGGGGCTGACTGATGCTGGGAAGGATAGTCAAGGAGGAAAACGTGATACACGCCCTAAATGCTAAGTGGACACGTGGTACAGTAGATGCCATCTTGAAATCTTGCCAAGGGGCCAGTTTGACATAAGCTGTGGCCAGTCTTCAGAAACCAACCCAAGGAACCATGAATGAAGCGGCTGCTCCCACCAAAAGTGCATCCACGGCCATGCTGGCTTCCTCAGTGCTTCCTGTCAGCTGTAGTTTCCTCCCATAATGACTTTGCGTCCTGAAAAATTCTCCTGTCGCTGTACAGTAATGTTTCCCCAGGAAAATCTCACTGTGGCCCTAGACGAAGACCTGTTTTTCTTAAAGGCATCTACAATTTCCAGTATAAATTCTGCCTGAAACTTCTGGGTCTTAACCTGTCCCAGAGCCCCAATGGGGTCCTCAGATGCAGAGTGTAGCCCCCGGAGTTGGGTGGCTTGTGTTTTGCTGCCCTGTAGGAAGGCAGGGTTTGACATCTCAAGACCCCGCTGGGGCAGCTGGTGAGGCCGTGGCTATTGGGCTGTCGTGATGCACATTGGGGAATCCAGCCTCATGTGTGCATGCGTTCCTTTCTTCGCTCATTTGCACACTTGGGTACCACATCCCTGCCCTGGACAGCAAGGGGTCAGTTCTTTCAGGAACCTTGGCCAGGTGGGGGGCGCTGTCGGCAGAAGGGGGGCTTGCGCAGCTGAAGAAGGAGGAGTACCCACCCCCAACTTTTCTTGTCACCAGCTCCAGCCTGTGTCCCTCCCTCACACCTTTCCCCACCCCTTGGGCCCACCTCCTCACCATGGCTGATTGGCACAGAAGGCCTCAGCCATTTGGGGGGTGGGTCCAAGGTCAATCAGGAAATAAACCCAAGAAGCCTAATGAAGTCCGTGGTCAGGACCCCAGTTGGTAGTTCTGACTTCCTCTCTGAAACACCTCTGGACTAGGCCTCTGGGTTTTATGCCTGAAGGTGTGACCCCCTCCTCTTCCCCGCTCACCTCCTCCACCAGGGCCATGTCAAAGTCCCCCAGAGCCAGTTAGGACAAGCCATCGTCCATCAGTTTCCCTCTCCTCCAAGGGGCAGCTCTGTCTGTGAGGTCATCCATTCCTCTGACTCTTGATCTGTTAGCCCACCCCCCTCACTCAAGCTGTATCCTGAGAGTGTGTTCAAGAGCGAACACTGGCCAGATTAGGATTCACCAGATAGTGTTAAGATAAGTTTTGTTTGAGACATTAATCAGAAAGTGTGTGTGTGTGTGTGTGTGTGTGTGTGTGTGTGTGTATGCGTGTAACCTGAGGTATGAGGCAGAATCTTTAAGACTTAGAGCAGACACAGTCATGATTTTAGCAAGTATGATCCTCTCAGTGTGGCAGAAGGCAGCCAAGGGTTAGCAGGTCAGCATGAGCTCCTTGCCTGGAATTCAGCAGAAAGTGGGGCCCTTCTTATCCATGACACACTAGGGATGTTTTCTTGAAAAACATCCTAAGGATCACATGCTTTGGCAATCTCCATTAATTCTTTGGGCGTGAAACACCTTTAAACCAGTGGTCTCCAAAGTGGTGGGGGGCGGGGGGGGCAGCCCAAGAAGATCCAGTGGGCTAAAGAATATTCTAGAACTTCTGTTTTTTTTTCTCTTCTCGTTTAAAAGTTCTGTCATACATAAGTTTGATAATGTACCGCCTAGGTTGGCATCGTAGTATATGTGTTTAACTGATAAATAAGTACAAGGACGTTAGGGTGTGTGGCCACTTTCTGTTCATAGGAATGAGAAGGATGGATAAGGGTATGTGATCCAGACAGTTTGGAGATCACTGCTTTAAACTGTTACCTGCCTTGTTTATTTTCAGTTACTGTCCTTTTTCAGTTTGTTCCCCTCCCCCATGTGCTGACTTTTATTTTGATTTTATTTATGTTTATGTTTAAGACATCCACACCTTCCTCTGCTAAAACCCTGACAAATAGGCCTTGCCTTAGCCCCAAACGCCCCACTCCTGGTAGCTCAGACCCTTTGATCAAACCCTCCAGCCCTGCTGTGTGCCCAGAGTCATCTTCCTCTCCTAAACACGTCTCTTCTGTCACACCCCGAACTGGCAGTTCTGGAGCAAAGGAGATGAAAGTCAAGGTAAGGAAACCACCTTTGAAAAGAATCAGGCTGCTCTCGTGCGGTTTTCAAATGTGTGTTGTTTTTAGCCACAAAGACCTTCCTCCCGATAAACTGGTACCTGGAGGCACCGTGTAGAGCAAGGACAAGTCTGGTTGGAATGGGAAAGGGGGGCAGGGCACCATTTTTCTCAGCTCCTGTTAGTCCCTCACAGCGGCCCCCACAGCACCCCATGGGACTCTGACTTGAAAATCCCCGCCCTTTGGCAACTGAGAGAGTTTCCAGACTGCCCTCATTTGGGTTAGATATCACAAGGCCTGTGCTGCAAGGTCACTGTTCCGCTGAACCATCTTGTGGTCTTTGGTGAATGTCAGTTTCTTTTTTGAGTTTGTGTTGTGTCAAGGTCAAACCTACTAACTGACCCCAGTCAGCAGGCTGTGCATGGGGGCTCTCAACCTTTGGCCCGTTTGCTTATTGGTGCTGGTGTTCAACCTGCCAAAGGCTCTTAGTGCACTCAGGAGTCCCTGAGACCTTAGGGTTGTTTGGGAGAGAAGAAAAGAATGACCTAGATCTGTTAGTACTCACCGCCAAGTTCATCAGTGTCTCCAAGGCTCTCTGGTGAAACCAACCACCATCAGTCAGATAAATCCCTGCGGAGAATCAGAAAATGGCTGTCCATATAAGAGTATCCTGCCCACGATGGGCTTTGGGTGGATAAAGAGCTTGATCCTCACTATAAGCTCTGTTGTGTTTTTATAGAAAACATTAGCACAGCTCATACTATTCGTCTTGTAAACAGTTCTTCTTGGAGAAAATGGTAGTCAGGGCACTTGGCATTTGAGTCGGGCTGTGGGTTGGTTTGCTGGCAAACCCGTGAGACTGTAGAAGACATTTGTCGCATCCTGGCAGGCGAAGGGTCGTTTTGAATTTTAGCCTCGTTTTGAATCAAGGCGGTTGAGTGGGACTGGCATGGACTCTAGGTGATAGTAACCTTCCCCAGTTGTAAAAACCACTATGCCGTGCTTCGGTTTACAGGGGGCGGATGGTAAAACGGGAACGAAGATCGCCACGCCCCGGGGAGCGGCCCCTCCAGGCCAGAAAGGCCAGGCCAATGCCACCAGGATTCCGGCGAAAACCACGCCCTCCCCAAAGACCCCGCCGGGCACTGGTAAGAAGAAGCTTCTCTGGACTCCAGGTCAGGAGAAGCTGTCAGTCTGTGCTATCCTCATCTCTGAAGGCCCCTGGCAATTAGTCACTTCTGGAAGCTGACAGGCACCTGCGGTCCACTAACCACCGGATGCTCCTTTTCTTTGTAATCCTTTTGACAATTTTCCAAGGTAGATAACTGAATCCCACTTTTGATCAGTGAAGAAACCAAGGCCCTAAAAATTTTCATGAATAAGTTTAAGCAGCTCTCTTGAAGCATGAGGAGGATGCAGGCATGTGATTAACAAGTGGCAGGAAAGGAGATTCTCTGAGGTTCTCTAACCCCCAAGTCCCGGGCCCCCAGGAGGTGTTTTTCAGCCCCCCACACACGGAGGTGTGGCTCCGTGTTTCTGGATAGGTCACTATGGATGACCTCACACTGGGTGTGGCCCCTGCACACTTGAACTTGCTGGAGGTGGGCCCTTTGACATAACCTGAGCACTTGCTTGCTGCGTCCAAACCCCTGTGCCCATGTGAGTAAAATCCAGTTTGTTTTGGGTACCAGGCAGGCTTCAGGCGAGCGATTCTGCTCCCAGTGGTGCTTATACAGAGTAGAATTGCCTTCTTTGAGGGATGGGAGACAGCCAGGATGAACCCCCCTCTCCCACAGCCCCCCAGGGGTCTGTCCCAGGCAACTGGGGACATCTGGCCTGGCTTGGCCTTGGAGTGGTGCTCAGGGGCCTGTGAGTGTTACACTGGCCTCGAGAGGCCTGGACCGGTCAGTGGTCTCTGGGCCCTGTGCTGGCCCAGGTGGGGTGCTCCGAGCCTTCTGTGCGTGTGTGCGTGTGTGTGTGTGTGTTTACTGTGGTGTTTGCCCACTTTGCCCTGGGGTGGTGCCTATGAGGACCCTTGCTCTTTAACGCCTGATAGCATTCAAATGCTAATAAGGGTAATTCACAGAATTGTGATTGGACTTCATAAATGATTTTGATCTTGCTTTTCTTTACTTGGCCTGAAGCTGGCTGACTCACACAGCTGGAGTCCAGGCTGGGGAATGAGATCCTGCTGTCTCTCTGGATCTTACCTGCTTGTGCGTGGCAGCTTGCAGGTGCTCAGATCTCTCCGCAGGCCGCCTTGACCTGTTTCCCGCCAGTTGGGACCCCTGCCCCTGCTTCCTGAACACATTCCCTGCCCGGCTAACCTCTGCCAGGCGGCGCGGCCGGGCATGGCTAGTGCCTGAGGCATGAAGCTCGCTGAGGTCCCGTTTAGGCTTGATGATAATGAGGCTCTCTGTGGATTTTTCTTTTTAAGCTACCAAGCAAGTGCAGAGAAAACCACCCCCTGCAGGGGCCAAATCTGAGCGAGGTAATTCTGAGGCCGCTTTGCCCCGTGGGGCACTTAGCTTTCCGTGTGTGGCTGTTTGCTGGCTTGGGTTTTTAGAGTGGAGAGGGCCTGCTTCTGAAACGTGGGCTTCACACGTTGAACCTGGCGGAACACGCAGAACCGTCAGAATTCCTGCTCCTTGTGTGTGGCCAATGCAGATGTGCCTGTCTGATCGATTCTAGTCTTGCGTGTTCTCGTTTCCTCCAGCTGAGGCTTTTGGGGAGGGGCAGGGAGCCTGCGTCCCCAGTTGTTGGTGGCTGCTGGAAGCTTGGAGCAGGGCAAGGTGTGAAATTCCTGCAGGAATGGATGAAACACACGTGTATTAAACACGCATCCCCGCGCTGTTACTACATTCAGCCTTCAGATCAGCACTGTGGGCTGTGACCGCCCTCCCCATTTTCCAGATGAAGACACAGGCTTAGGAGGCAGAGTGCCTTGCCCAAGGTCCATCTGCAATTACGTGGCGCAGAAAGGATTTGTAGCCAACACCAAGCCCCGCGGTCAGCCTGCGTGTCTGGAGGGGCGGGGAAGGGGCGACTGAAGCTGGAGCGGAGGCCCCGTATATTGCTTCCCTGTGTGGAAAAGGAGGGACAAAAAAATCTTCATTTGTCCTGTTGCCACAGAGCTCGACGACATTAGGAACATCCAACAGATGTGGAAATTCAAACAAAAAAGTGGCGGTGGCTCTTCTCTTGATGAGAGAAGTCGCCTTTTTGCTGCCGCGTGAGCCATCCTTCTCCAGGTTGGAGCCTCCAGGTCCCTGCTCCGTACACGTGGTTCCTGGGGCCAGGGGACCTGGAAAGCTTGGAGGCAGCAGTAGAGCTCAGCCACCCCCAGAGCTGAGGGGAGCCGGGCCCTCACGACTGCACAGCATCTGGCCCCATGGCTCTCAGACTCCACTGTGCGCAAGAACCCCCAGGGAGCTTGGGGGGCACTCGGGTGGGCGGCTCAGGTCACGATCTCACGGTTCACGAGTTCAAGCCCCATGTGAGGCTCTGTGCTGACAGCTCAGAGCCTGGAGGCTGCTTGAGATTCTGTCTCCCTCTCTCTCTCTGCCCCTCCCCTGCAAGTGTGGGCTCTAGCTCTCTCTCTCTCTCTCAAAAATAAACATTTAAAAAAAAAAAAGGGAATTCCCCAGGGGCTTGGGAAGGCCCCGTAGTGCAGGTCTCTCAGCCCAGGAGGCTCGGTCATGCCAGGTCTGGACAGGCCCAGGAATTTGCATCTTACAGGTCTCATTCCTGACTCGAGGCTCTGGACATTCTGATGCAGGGGCCCCTGGGCCACACTTGCAGAAACACTGCTTCATGAGGCAGATGGAACGGGAACTATTGTGTGGATGTTGCTGGGGGGTTTGGGTTTGAGTCTGTTGTGGAGAGAACAGTCCCAGCAGCCTTCCTGGAAGTCTGCAAAGGTGACAGATCACCGTGCGTGGGCACAGCAGGGGAGGGGGGTGTTGGGGAGGGCACGGGGGGCAGGGCGGGCAGGGCATGGCCGCACGAGGCAGCGTGGCTTGTCTGGAGATTTAGGGACGGGTGGACATGAAGCAGGCTTACTGTCGTGGAGCCCACACAGCACAGAGGAGTCGGGGAGGCTGCGCAGGGGCCTGCTGGGATAGAGGCCTTGAACTTGCTGAACAGCTTAGAAGTCACCCAGTGGGCAAAGGGTCTAATGGATCCAGACAAGGGCGGCCCCCCGGTCCCATCACCGGGTCACTCTTTCTCAGGGAAAAGTCATGTAGAATTGCACTAGCTTTACAAAGCACATCCACACGCTGGGGCGCCTGGGTTAGGTTAAGCGTCCGACTTTCGCTTAGGTCATGATCTCGCGGTTCGTGGGTTCGAGCCCCACGTCGGGCTCTGTGCTGACTGCCAGCTCAGAGCCTGGAGCCTGTTTCAGCCTGTGACTCCCTCTCTCTCTGACCCTCCCCTGCTCACGCTGTCTCTCTCTCTCCTAGAAATAAATTTAAAAAAATATATTAAAAAAAAAACAAAACAAAAAAACAAAGCACATCCACATGCATCCGTGCCTGGCTCCCCTCACTGTGGCATTCTGATTCTCTCCATGTTCAAGTTGAGACCCCTGAGCTCTGAGACGGAACATGACTTGTCCGAGACCACACAGTGTGTTGGAATCTATCTTTTGACTCCAGGGGCAGAGACGGTCCCCTTACGGAAGGCTACTGGGTGGTCCTTGGTGACCGCTCTGCTGCTTCTCTGGGAAACAGGGAGTCTCTGTCCCTAAGCAACGAGGCCCAGAGGGAGAGACGTTTCTCTAGAAATGAGAAGCAGGACAGCCTCCTGCTGGGTTAGCTGAGCCTCTGGCCTTGGTCCCACCTGCCGAACCGGTTCCGGTTCCGGGAATGGGCTCTCAGGACAGGCAGCCCCCAGGGCTTTGTCTGGCTCCCACCAGCCCCAGCCCTGGGCTCACCCACTCCTCTCTCTCCAGGTGAATCTGGGAAATCTGGGGATCGCAGCGGCTACAGCAGCCCCGGCTCCCCAGGAACCCCCGGCAGCCGCTCCCGCACCCCGTCCCTGCCGACCCCGCCCACCCGGGAGCCCAAGAAGGTGGCAGTGGTCCGCACTCCACCCAAGTCGCCATCTTCAGCCAAGAGCCGCCTGCAGACGGCCCCTGTCCCCATGCCAGACCTGAAGAACGTCAGATCCAAGATCGGCTCCACCGAAAACCTGAAGCACCAGCCAGGAGGTGGGAAGGTAAGGGCGCCGGGAGGCTGGCTGGGCGTGTGGTGGCCCCAGGACGCCAGGAGAAGGTGTGTGGGTCCCCCGACGGTGACTCTCGCCTCACCTGGCACCTCAGTCCCTCCCAGATGTCTTCAAGGAAAGACAGCACGTTATGGTTCAATTCTGATTTGGGGTCGCCCCCCAGGCCGTGAGTGCCCTCCCTCCTCAGGGGAGAGAAAGTACTGGTTCCTTCCTTCCCTGTTTGAGCCCCTGCTGACTGGACAGTATCAGAGATTACAGGGTTGATTGTATCTCCATGACTTGGGGGTTCTCAAAGACTTGGGGCACCCACAGCGGCCCCCCAGCCTGTCTTGTGTTTGGAACAGGACACAAGCAATCTGTAGGTGAGTGTCTCTGGCAGTCGCTGGGCATTAGGTTAGGTTTCTCTCGAATCTTCAATTCTGGGGAAATTTGGGGTGCCATTTTGAACAATCTTTGGGTTTCCTAAAGGTAGAGAAATGTGAGCTTCCAGGGGCCTCCGTGGTGGGAGAGGGGGACTGACCCGGACCCCCTTCCTCTTCTTCAGGTCCCTGTCCCGGTTGTATGAGTTTCCTAAGGCTGACATAGAAAATACCACAGACTGGGCAGTTTATATAACAGAAGTTTATTTCCACACAGTTCTGGAGGCCAGATTACCAAGATCAAGGTGTTGGCAGGACTGGTGTTCTATGAGGTCTCTCTGCTTGGCTTGTGGATGGCGCCTTCTCGTGTTCTCGCATGGTCTTTTCTCTGGGTGCCCCATCTCTCCTTCCTAGAAGGACACCAGTCATATCGGATGGGGGCCACCTCTTTAAAGACCTCACTGGGTGGGGGGGGACATGGTTCAGCCCAAAACAGCCTGCCTCCCCCTCCAGCTCCAGGAAGGGGAGTGGAGAAGGGAGGAGAGGTGGCATGTGTGGGGGACAGAGGACCACGACTCCGCTCTTAGGAGCACAGATGTGTTCAGCCTCCTGGGTGTGGGCCATGGGGGGGGGGGTGGCGGCAAGCCTCCGGCTGTGCTGGGTGGGGGGGCATTACAGCATCCGGAACCGATGTTTTCCTTTTAGTTAGAGCCACGCGCCTCCCCCACAGCGGGGGCCTTTGCAGTGTCGATGTTATTTATCGCTCTTGGCTGGGTCTGGGGCACCGTGAAGGGAGGGCGTCTCAGGGCTTTCCGTCCATGTTGGTGCCTTAGTTGAAACCTGTGCCTTGGTCCCCAGAGAGCTTCAGGGCCTCCCCCTGGCCTTTCCCAGCCCGGGTGGCTGAAGAGTCCTGCCCAGTTGGGAGGTGTGGGTGCCTCCTGGGGTAAAGCCCTAGGTCTCATGGCCGCTGGTCTCTGGTCCACAGAGTTGGCCCTGGGCCTGTGTTTACTTTCCTACAGTGTTTGCCTTGGCTGCTCCTCGCAAAGATGCCCATCTCCTTCCGGGAGGGGCTGGGAGCTGGGGCAGCTGGGCGTGGGCTTGAAGTTGACCCCTCTGGAAGCTTCTCGGCAGAGGGACCTGCAGGGACAATGTTTCCACGGAAGTGGGGTGCTGGCCACTGGCAGTCCCACATGCCCCTCAGCACCGAGAGCGTTTGGTGTGTGTGCCCTGTTTTCGTGGCATAAAGTGACTGTTTGGTCCTCGCTTTGAAAAAGGAAAAACAAAACCCCCACACAGCCAGTTCTGCACCCACGAAGAAGATGGTGTGGCTGTGACCAGCATCTCACCAGGACTCGTTACTGCAAGAGAGAAACTGTCACCGTCAGCACCTGCAGCCTGCGGGCTGTCACCCAGCAACAAACACTCACCTCTTCCTGCTGGCCCAGGCTGCACCTCTGCATCAGCCCAGGCTGCACCCTTCCCTGACCAGGCTGCACCCCCATCAGCCCAGTCTCACCCCTGCATCAGCCCAGGCTGCACCCCTCCCCGACCAGGCTGCACCCCCATCAGCCCAGGCTCACCCCTGCATCAGCCCAGGCTGCATCCCTGCCAGACCAGGCTGTACTCCCATCAGCCCAGGCTGTACCCTCATCAGCCCAGGCTGCACCCCTGCATCAACTGAGGCTGCACCTCAACCAGCCCAGGCTGCACCCCCCCATCAGCCCAGGATGCACCCCAACCAGCCCTGACTGAGCCTCTGACGTCAGCGTGGAAAGTACTGGTGGCTCTGGCCCAGCCCCAGCAGCTCTGCAGAGAACTCAGGGTCGGGCCGAGCTTTTCCCAGTGAAGACGCTTCCGGGGCTGGAATCTGCCCCTCGCACCCAGGTCTGCCCCATCTGTGGGGGAAGAGGAGTCGGTGGAAGAGGCCCAGCGACCAATGCTCAGGGTGGACATGCTCACCATTTGGGACACAGGCACCAAGCTGTCCGCTTGGTTAAAGGGAGAGGGCGACTATTCAGGGCTCTCTGTGGGGGGAGGCAGGGAAGTGACAAAGGGAGGAGTAGCAGCTTCCCTTAAATCCCATGGAGAACCCAGGAAATTGTCTGAAACAAGAAACCTTCAGCCATGACGAGGAATATAATACAATCTCCAGGGGAAATGAAGAGAACAGACACAGGGAAGCAGAGGGCGCGAGTGCTCCATGGAGAAGGCCTGTGAACGGCCCGGACGGCAGGTCTCCCAAGCTCTCCTTGAGCTCTTTGGGGCCCTGTGGCCTCCGGCAGTGCCTGCCATGCAGCAAGTGCAGCGAGTGTTTATTTAGGCTGCAAAAGGGCCAGCGCCCAGTGTGAAGAATAACATGGCTCCCCACGTAGATGCTCACACGGAAGGAGGAGGAGCCAGTGGCTCAGTTTGTAAACCTGCAGACTGAAAACCACAGGGGATTGATGGAAATCAGTGGTTGGAAAAAAAATGCAAAACACCTGTTTACTGCTTTGTACTTTGCCCTGTTTTTGAGATTTGCTACTGTGAGCAGATATTGCTTGAAGAGTCCAGAAGGAAATTCTTTTTTTAATGTTTATTTACTGAGAGAGAGAGAGCATGCTCGAGAGAGAGCACAATCGCACAGGCAGGGGAGAGACAGAGAGAAGGAGACACAGAATCTGAAACAGGCTCCAGGCTCTGAGCCGTCAGCACAGAGCCCGACGTGGGGCTCAAACCCACGAACTGTGAGATCGTGACCTGAGCTGAAATCAGACACTCCATGGACTGAGCCACCCAGGCGCCCCAGAATGAAATTATTTTTAAAAGAAAACGCAGATAAGCACTTGGCCGCTTTACCAGAACCAGCTGGATCCACCCGAGGTTGGGGGAGAAGGGAAGGCAGGCCAGCCATGCAAACAGCTTCCCGGGGCACCAGTTCTTCTATATTATTATAAAAAAATAATAATAGTGTCAAAACTACTTAGGTTTTGCTTACTATCTGTCTATCTAAAAGTTTGCAGAGAAGAAAACGAGAGTATGACAAAATGCTGATAGTCATAGAGATTGTGTGTGATTCTTTTTCTCTGTTTTCCCTTTTCTTTCCAAATTTTCTACAATGAAAACAGTTCTAATCAGAAAAACGTGGTTGGCAATACATTGTAACTGAAATTGTTACAGCGGATGATAGTAAAGCAAAAAATAGAAAGTCCATGTAATTGAAAGGGGAAATGTTTAAATACCAGGAATTAAACTGTATGACAGGACTTACCTGTTGTGGAGTTCAGATGTCATGCCAATAATCCATATAGTCAGTAAAGAAAAATATCTATAAGTACAGGGAGCTAACAATTGCGTTTGCCTGTTCCCTAAGCTCAGTGTCATATGCAGCAGAGCCTAATTGTATCCCTGTCACCAACATTACCACAAATATTTGGGAATTAAAAAATTGTCATGTGTCACTGTTCAGTTTGGAAGTGAAGAACGTGTCTTCTGAGTGCATTGGTAACAACTGGAGGTGTCCCCAATTGTACTTAGAGGCAATTCATAATTTTAATGCTTTTGTTATTTAAAAAAAGTAAGTGACTACAGCATGGAAGTTATGTTTTTAGTGACAGAATAAAGAATACAAAAAATAAGACTGCAGGGGCACCTGGGTGGCTCAGTCGGTTAAGCGTCCAACTTCGGCTCAGGTCATGATCTCACAGTTTGTTGGTTCGAGCCCCGCGCCGGGCTCTGTGCTGGCAGCTAGCTCAGAGCCTGGAGCCTGTTTCAGATTCAGTGTCTCCCTCTCTCTCTGATCCTCCCCTGCTCACGCTGTCTCTATCTCTGTCTCAAAGATAAATTTAAAAAGAAAAAAAATAAGACTGCAGATACAAAGATAAGAGTAGAGGGGCACCTGGGTGGCACCGTTGGTTAGGCATCCGACTTTTGATCTTGGCTCAGGGCATGATCTCACAGTTCATGAGTTCAAGCCCCGTATCGGGCTCTGTGCTGATGATGCTTGGGATTCTTTATGTATCTCCCTCTCTCTACCTCTCCCCTGCTTGTGCTCTCTCTCGAAATAAATAACTAAACTTAAAAAAAAAATAAAAAAAGAGTAGGAAGAAATTGGAAAACACAACCAGTACAACGGGACATACAACAGCATTGAAAGCTGGTTCCTTCCTCCTGTCCTGTGCTCCATTCACCCGGCATGTCTGGGGCACCTCTGCATGCCGGGCTCTGTGCAGAGGGCTCCTGTCCCTGAGACCCAGAGCAAAAGGGGCGCAAGGACAGGTTGGTCTGGGAAGGATGTGCAGCCCTCACCCCGGAAGGTTCCCACACTGAGGGGATGTCACCTGTGTTGTTATGACTCACACTGAGGGTCCACCGCACCCCTGACCGTCCCCCACACTGAGGGTCAAGCATCACCACACCGAGGGACCCTTGACCAGCACCACTGAGGGTCACCACACCGAAGTCCTCTGTGTTATGGACTGCCCCACAATGAGATATGTCACCAGCAAGTCAGAGAAGACAGGGCAGGCCCCTCTTGGAACCGTCATTGGTGTCTGAGTGCTAGACCCGTGGGCTGAAAGAAGACAGGGAGAAACTGCACCCTGGAGACGTTCAGACAAAAAGCAGAAGGAAGTTCGAAGTGACAGAGCTGGG